CAGCTTCATTTAGCTCACCAAAGCCTCAGCAATGGGTGTTATTTAGACATTTCACAGAAAACCTGGCAAGCAGGACATCTCTAGCTGAAAAAAGTGAGTATCTTGTTCGTTTTGACAGCACAAAAATTTAAAAATAGCTAAATTTGTTCTAAAAATAATATTAGTTTTTTTCAGGCAACATCTTTTCACACTGCAGACTCCATGTTGGATGGAAATACACTGTCTGCTAAGGAAACAAGATGGGTACAAATGTCTTTAAGCCTAGCCACTTAAATCTCACACAGTGCTGAGTCTTAAGACTTTCTCAACATTACTAGAAAATACAGCTGTCCTTTTGTTGTTGGGAAATATCTTGAAATGTGTTATAAAGCCAACACAACTGCACTGTCATCTTTCATTTGATTTTAGGATTGAAGAGAACCAAAAGCCTAGCTCAGAAGAGAGTTCCTGAGAAGGATATAACCTCTCTGCCTGGTTGCCCTCCTACATTCTTGAAGGAAAGAATGCAAAAGTCGGGGAACAACATTTTCTAAAGAAAAAACATATGGTTGTTTTTCATCCAGGCCAGGCATGTATACAGAGAACAGCTAACTAAATATAATAACCAGTTCACTCATTCATTTCTTTCAGGACTATTTATCTAAATCAGTAAATAGATTATTTAAGAAAATAAAATTTTAAAAACCCCAAAACACAGGAACACAGCTTCTAATTAGAAACATCACAATTTGATTTTGGCTTTATTGTGGCAATGTGCCATTCTGACCAACCCAATCAAGAGATGGTGGCTGCAGTTTATTTAAACAGTAGTCCTGGGCGGTGAGCAGGTTTCCAGATGTGCTACTCCACATCCCTGCAATCAATAAATAAAAGGAGGAGGACTGTTGGAATGCTAACATTTGTCCAGAAAACTGCTCAAAGAGTTAAAGACACGGATGATAAAAGCAGCTGCACCAGCTCTTGTCACGCTGCCAGAGTTGAATGTTTACCTAGTGCTGCATCCCCACCAGATGGGGTGAAAACAAAACGTAGAAAGTCTCTTTTCCCAACCATTTTGCCATGAAGAAAGGTACAGGAAAGCAGAACAGATTTATGTGGTAGAAGCAGACCCGTGAAGACACATTCAAATAGTTGTGTGTAGGTTTCTTGGCGTTTCTGTTAGCAGACATTCTGGGGCAGCATCTGCAATCTAAACACTATCCTGTTATTCCACAGTCCATCACTTTGCCTGTCTCTGCATTTATAATTCATGCCCTCTGGTCTTACAGCTTGCGCTGCAAGAGGGTCTCTAAATTGGGATGGCTAAGCTTGGGGGTTGAATTATGTTTTATTTCTCAAACCAAAGCCACAGGTGTACAGCTCTGGAAGATGCTGAATGTTCCCAGTGATGGATGCTTTGTGTGTCCTCATAAATCCCCGCTGCCTAGAGCGGCGGCGCAGAACGCAGGACCCAGCCACAGCGAGAGCACGGTGGAAGCGCAAAAGTGAGGGAAGAGTGATGATAAACCAAGGTAGGAATCAAAACCCTTTGTGCAGCCTGCCTTGTGGAAACTGGGCATGAGGCAGGCTGCATGGACACAAATCACTGAGCCGAGCGCCAGAAGTAGTTTTGTCTGTCTTTTCCCTCCCCCAGCACGAAGACTCTCCACCGACCCATGATCCACCCTGAGGACCGGGCGGAGGATTAGCAGCCAAGGCCAAGGAATAGTTGGGCCAGAGCCAGGACAGTGCATATATCATGACTGACTTCTCTGGGCCTGAGGGGAGCTCTTGCTTGGGAAAGCATTTCTTCAACAACCGCCCGGATTTCCATTGCTGGCACACGTGGTCACACCAGCGGTCCCTCACCTGACCTGTCCCCAGTGCTTATGAGCAGTTCAGCTCTTCCTAACTCACAAGGCTTCTCCCACACCCAGCACTAAGATCTTGGCTCTGGGACAGCACTCCTGTGTGCAGTGAAAGAGTGCACAGATCCCTGAGGCCACAGGCACTGTATCCTATGCAACGCTGCTGGCTCCACACTTTACCACGTCCTAATCCTTCCCTTGCTGCTGTACTCAGTGTACCTGCTGCCAAAACATGCTGTAAATCTATAAAGGTGCATTGGATGGACACCTGGAGATGAAGATAATGAAAAGTTACAAGTCATCCTTCTTCCAGCAACTTCCCTTACACAGGCTAAGGTAACGGAGCAAGAATCGGGTCACAACTTGATGAAGTGAAAATAAACGTAAGAAAAGCAAGAAATCCTTGATTATGGATAAGGAGACCAGGAAGACAGCCAAAACTAAGTTGGGAATCCATTAGTTCTTATGTCTAATGGAGCTTCTAAGTGTATGGTGTCTGCTTCCTGGAAAGAACAGGAAGAGTTGGCATAGTCTTTTATAGGAGCAGGATATCATCTCTGAATGTTTTAAACCAGTCAGTGCAGCCCATAAAAATGGAGATGCAGACCCTAAGAAAAATGGGAAGAGGGCTGGACAGACAGAATTTTGCTCTTGGTGGACTTTTCCAGAGTTAACTGCATCTGGATGTGTACCATGATTTTTATCTGTTAAAAAAAACCCCAAACCTTAAATCAGATGCACCATATATGGTAAGACTGTTCTTTGGGCTGCAAAAGACTACTTGAAAGACTGTTTATTACAGCTAATAAAAGCCAACCTCAAAGTGCAAAGGATAATACCTTTTCCTTGATGCATTTTCAAATATAACATGGATGTGGACAATTTCAGACAAGTCTGCTTTTTTCAACACTTTGTCAGGCCCAGCTTCCCCACCTGTTTTGCGTGTGTATTTCTGGATGAATGGTCCAAATGCAAAACCCTTCTTACTAAGAGTTACCAAACAAACACAAACTAAGAGACTCAAAAGAAATGGTTATGTTAGGCAAAGAGCTGGACATGCCTGCGAGAGTTTGTTTTATAAACATTTAGCAGCTGCTCAAGGACATAAATACTTCCAAACACTTTTATGATCCATTTCAAGATTGTGTCATTCCCATCTTTTTTTGCTAGTATGGCAGGACATAGATCATTTGATGAAGCAAGCAGCAGCCAGTGTGGTACCACCTGGATGTCTACTGCCCATGGTTCCCATCCCACTTGCAATTTTTGCCACTGACTTCTACTGAAAACTTCTTTCCTGTGATGTTTTAGATAAATCATGACTAGCATAGTTTTCAATGTATTCTTTGCTGGCATGAATTCAGAACAAGTCTTTAGTGCAACCAGAATACTTTAGCCAATGCTGTTCACCAGCCTGGTTGAAAACTATCCCAAATCACACCAGCTGTGGATTAGTCAGGTTGTAAAGGGAAGCACGGTAGAGCAGTTGCATTTAGCTTAAAGTTACTCTTGAACACGCTTGCTAGTGCATTTTAACACTGGCAGGAGGGCATGGGAACTTGTGAGTTAGCTTTACAAGAACATAGCAAATTTTAAAAGGAAGTTTCAAACAGTGTTTAATCAGTGTGATATCTACATTTTTAAACACAGGAACCCATAAAACATGCTGCTGTTCTTGTCAGCCACTTGTGGCAAAGGTCCCATGCTCACTTCATGTACTAACGTCTCCCTGGATTACCTGAAACTCAGAGATCTCCCAACACAAGTAAATATTTTCATTTTGGACTGCTGCATTAAACTGTTGATTAAATCTCCTGGATTTTGTGGGGTTTTTATGAACAGGAGTCCAGGTAAAGCCTGTTCTCTGATCGAATTCTTGACTTACACACAGCGCTAGGTGTGGGGTACAGCTGAGTTCTGCTCCCCTCCCTCTTACAAGAAAGACAGTAATTGCTGGCTGCATGACACTGTTTTTATCAGTTCAGTCTTTGGGTGTTTTGTTCTGAACAGCCCTCACTGACTTCTGGCAGCTTGGACTGAGAGTCCAAAGAGACATCAAGACAAATCCGGCCTCGGCTTCTGATGGAGCATAAGGATGTTCAAGCCCAAGCGAGTCCAAGTCACAAGTGAGCAGTTTGAGGCTACAGAGTAATAGATTTTGGTTTTTTACAGTGTAAAAACCATAAAACACACAGCTATCTCCAGACAAAGCACAAGACAAATTATACCTCAAGCCTTAAAATTGTGTTTTCCAGCTTTGGCTGTGCTCAGACTGTGGAATACCTGAGCACTGCTGCAATAGGAAAATGTAAGCCATAGCTGTTGTCACTGGCACAAGACACTGCACACAGCATGGCAGAAAACAAAACTGTATTCACTTGTCAACAAGTCAGCTTTAGTTCTATTTTTACTGCTAAAAAGCAGGAACAAGTTCTGCAGTAAATTAAATCCATCAAACCATGGGAGACCGAAGATCAGTCCAAAGCATGATGCAGGATGTCTCTGTTAATAATACTCACACCAAAATCTGAAACCAAAATTTTGGGCTTGGACACCTCAAGTGAAAGTGCAATTAATCTTCATAACAAGACTTCATGTCCTGTTTTAAATGAAAGAACTTGGAATACATTTGGTATTGTGGAACAAGCATATGACTGGATGCTGAGCAAAGCAGAATATTGAAATATTGAAATGCAAATTCTTATTTCCCTTCAGGGCTAAGATTTCAGTAAGATTAACTGGGGAGTCCATAGCTGTTTTCTGGCCACTGATGCAACCTCTGCACATTTGTGATGACAACATTATAAAGGGTTTTATTGCCATTTAAATTGGTTTTTTGGTAGTCACACATGAAATTCTTATGACTTAGGTAGGGCCACTTATTACCGCAGGGCAAAAATCCACCTACCTAAATCTGTAGTGAGTACTACCAACAGCAGACAACTGGATATAGGAATAAAATCCTGATTTCCAGAAACCAAATTCCCTTTGACATCAGGTAAGCCCAGCTCTCCCCGCAGAGATCTCCATTCAGCATGGCTACCCAATCTCCATCCACTAACGTTTGGGACCACCACCAGAACATTTATTTTCTGTCCCAAATGCGACATTCTCCGCACGACCACAGCAGAGGAGATGTTCTGGCTGCCTCACCTGCATCAGCAGCTGTGACCAGCAGCAGGTACTGCTCCTTGGCCTCCCGGTCCAGGCTCCGCACCAGGCGCAGCTCTCCGCTGCCCGAGAGGGTGAAGGCTCCCTCCTCATTGCCAGCCACCAGCACGTAGGTCAGCTTGCTGTTCAGCCCTTGGTCATCATCCCTTGCTACCACCTACACAAGCAACGCAAGCAGAACAGGTATCAAGGACTGTAAAATTACATCGGGTTGGAGGAGGCATTCTCTGTGATAATAATCCAAATTAATGGGTTGAACTAATGCAAATGCCGCAGGTATAAATTAGCTGTAATTGAAAAATGAATACTTAACACGGTGGTGGTGGATTTAAAAAGCGCAGAATGAAAATACTAAGTAGTTGATTATTTATTTTAATCAAGTGTAAATACAGTAAGACTGTGTTGGGGCTCAGTGAACACCACAAACGACCCGGTGTGTGAGGATAGGTAGGGAAAATACAAGCAGAACTCCAAAGCATAATATTACCTTTTGGTAAAAAAAAATTCACTTTTTTTTGGTAAAAAAAAACAAAAAGAAAAACAGGACAACAAAGACTGCAAATTCAGTTAAAGCCAAGAGGCAACTTTTCCACTGTTTTGCCCCTTTTTAATTTTGGAGGAAGGACACTGTGCCTTAATACCACATAGGCATGCTACCGATTGTCAGAGGCACATATTTATTGCTGAATGTACCCACCTGAAGAATAACTTTTGGCAGTGTCTCCAAATTCTCAGGGACGTTCACAGAGTAGGGCGAAAGCTCAAAGGTGGGAATGAAATCATTAACATCCTTCAGAACAATACTGACTGTCGTGGTGTCGGTCCTGGGGCTGCTCCCGCGGTCAGATGACTGAACAGTCAGTGTGTAGGAGGGCTTCTTCTCTCTATCCAAAGGCTTGGCCACAGTTATCACCCCCGTCACAGAGTCGATCCGAAACTCACTGCTGGCATCCCCGCTCACGATGGCGTAGCGGACCTGCCCATTTGTCCCTTCATCTCCGTCAGCAGCCAACACCTGGACTAAATCCGTCCCTGTCAAAGTATTTTCCGCCACCTCCACTTGGTAAAGCTTTTGGGCAAAGAGCGGGTTGTTGTCGTTAATGTCCAGGACAACGACCACCACATCCGCCGACGAAGAGAGGGACGGCTGGCCCTTGTCTGTGGCTACCACAGTCAAGGTGTAGTTGGCCACGGCTTCTCTGTCAAGCTCCCCGGTGAGCCTCACTTCCCCATCAATGGTTCCGATGCTGAACTTGTTTCCCAGAGGCCGGAGCAGGCTGTACTCGATGTAGCTGTTGGGACCGCTGTCGGGATCAGTCGCCTGGGCTTTGAACACCACCGTGTCTATGGGCGTGTTCTCCGGCACGTAGGTCAGCCTCGGGGAGATAAAGCTGGGGGGGCTGTCGTTCACGTCCAGCAGGATGATGGAAACTTGTGCTGTGCTGGTGTACCTGGAGGCTGGGACTGGGGCCATGTCGTGGACTTGCACCACCAGGCTGTAGAAGGACTGGCTTTCCCGATCCAGGGGCTGCCGGATGCTCAGTACCCCGCTGTTGTCGATGCCGAACTGCCCCGCGCTGTCCCCGGACGCGATGCTGAAGGACAGCTGAGAGTTGGGGCCTGGGTGGGGCGGGAGAAGAAAGGTAGATAAACGTGACTTCATCCCACTGACCTAGCTATCAGTATTTCTGGCCTCGTTTCCACAGGAAATTTTTCTTAATTTTCCTAAAGAAATGAGGATTGTATAACCACGCTGAGTGTTCAGCCTCCTCACCACCATTTTTGAATCCATCTGCTAATTTCGGCCAAGCTTCACAGTGGAGCAGAAGCCTCTGAAGTTATTATTTTCTGAGAAGGTAATATTCATGAAAGAGAGAGGGAGAATGCTAATTGGAGAGGCCACAGAGGGAACGACTGGCAGGGTTCATCTCGGCTTTTCATTCAGCGGGAGCTGCACCGTGGCACCAAAAGTAATTTTTCCCCACCTACAAAGGTTAGGAAAAAGGGCTTGAAGGGTTTTCCATCAGAAACCAAGACTCAGTAGCTCTGCTGCTCACTGAACATCTGGTTTCCTCCGTTCTTCCCAGTTCAACTAAGCAACGTTATTATTAATGTAATTATTTCATGAATTTTTCCACTCAATTAGAAAAAGCCACAAGCAGAAACTCCCAAGCCTAGATGCAGCAAGCCAAGAGTGAACACTGGGGAAAGGTATGCTTTCCATATATGGCATGGTATTCCAAAATATCAGATGAACAGCCCTCACTCATCTCATGATCAAAACATAACTAGCAATTATGGTCAGGGGAGAGATTTATCATTCTGCTAAGGGAAATGCATCCTGAACCTGGACAGGGCTGTGAAATGTACTTAAATATTCCTTGTAGGAAACAATGTGTGTTACTGCTTTTGATTCCACACTTCACTCTAAACAACTAATTATTGGGAGCTTCCAAATGTGAAAAAAGTTTTATCTCCTCCCTCTATCTTACTGTTTTAATTAATTTCAAAAATTGTCCTTTCAAAATCTGTTAATTTCAAAAATTGTTTTGCATATTCAAGAATGTGCTCAGTAAATTAACCAACCATTAGCTACTACTTTACCCCTGAAACTAGCTTGTTCATGCAAATAAAGCTGCCCACTTCACTGACTGCCGTGTACTTTGTAATTTTTACTCAGAAGCTCTTTTCTCTCCGAGTGAATTGCTTTGATAATAAAATTATCCTTGCATTAGAATTATTAATCTCTGCTTTTTATTATGCTCAGACTTGAGAAATCTTGTCCAATGTGTCTTTCCCCCCAGTGGCTACTGTAATTGGCATCTTTCCCTCTCTCTCTTTCCTCCTGTAGGAGTTAAATTATAAAATGAATAGAACCAAACATGAAAGACAAAATATCTGAATTACAGAAATTAATACATTTATCTACCAGATATTAGTGTTTCTCCATCACTTTGATCAAGTGAAGGACAGTGAAAGTTTAATGCTACTCTGCTTTTTGTTCAGTCGTATTTTCAAATGACTAATTATATGGATGAAAGACTTTATTTCAGTAAAGTACTTTCTGTAAATTCAAGATTTTTAGAGATGGGTAGGATTTGGGTCCTGCAAAAGAAAATTACTTCAAAAAATACTCTATTCCTCCCACCCTCCCTCCCAACCCTGCTTCTCCCCAGTGTTTTCTATGGTGTTTATTCCTAAGAAAAATTAGCTTGTTATTCCTTATCTTACTTCCATGAACCTTTCATTCTTTTTCCTGTATTCTCATAGGTTTTCATGCTGCTAAATCTTATATAAATTAAACTATGAAACAGAAGAGTTGCCTAAATATCAGTGGAGCCAGGAAGGGTAAATAATGAACCATTCTCTTTTTCAAACACAGCATGCCAAGCTGGCATTGTGCAGCTCGTCCATCCCCCCCCTTCCAAGATTTGGAGCTGGGCTTTTCTTAGGGAGAATGTAGAGACATCCTCTTTGCTGAACCTTAGGTTTATTTAATTGGAAGGTTCATCTGATAAAACACTGAAAAGACAGACATGGAGTCACCAATTTCATGATAACACTCTTCTAAAGGGTTTTGTTTCTATTTTTATTTATTTACTAATAAGCCTAAAAAAAAAAAATTAAACAAAACAACGAAACTTCTTTCCCCCTGCCATTCTATAAATACCTGCAGAGTTTAACTGGGAAATAACACCAGCTTTGCCTGGAGGAATACCTAACTAAAATTTTAACAAACTGACAAACACGCATGTGCTTTCCTCTCAGATTTTTCCTGTTAATTCTTTGTTGGAAAAATAAAATCTGAATTTCAAAATGAATGTGTTTAAGTCTTTAGTATATATTATTAAATATCCAAGAGCTGTAGCTGATATTTGCTATGGGCCTGTATATGAAACAGTCCAAGCTGAGATAAATAGCTGCTGTTTCCCAAGGGGTGTGCTGAACAAGAAAAATTAAAATTGGAGCAGCTTCACTATCACCATGTTTCTTTCTTTTATCAGTGTTTATCCTAAAACAACAGCCATACCTCATTATAAAACAATGTCTTTTACAGAGCTCTTTCAAACTATAGGATCATGTAACATAAATAATCAACGAAATTGTATTTGTATTGAGTGCATTATCTGTGAGCACATGGAGAAGAGTATAATACTAGACTAGCTATTTTTGTGCTCTAGATAAATATAAAATGACACAAGATAACAAGTTTGGGCTTGAAACAGAAACAACAATAGATCATAACATTTGCTCAAGTTACAGTCCTATGGGAGAACTCAACCTGGCATGCTCTTGGAATGATATTTCTGCCCTATTAATTTTAAATCCAGCCTGCTAGAAAAGCAAGTGTGCCAGAAAATATAAAAGGCAAGATATCTGACTTCTAGTTGCATTGCTCCTCAAATACTCATTTGCCTCCTTGATAACTGAGTGTGTGATGAATGTGAGTTGATATGTCAGTGCTATGACAGAGTTCCCATCCTGTGCACAGATGGAAATTAATGTATGAGGTGCAAGAGAAAAGGAAAACAGACTCATAATGGCGAAGTGAAATTAACTTCCAAAAAGGTTTGAAACCAAGTGCTGTAGTCCTGACAGGAAAATAAGAAATAGAAGAGGAGACAGACACAAACCCATTTATCTAAAAGTCTGGAAGAGCAATACCTTCCCCAGGTATGCATGATACAAGCACAAGCTCCTCTTCAAACTTATATTTAGTTTACATAAAATAGAAGCCTTAACAAGTGTGGTGAAAGAGAGATTCATACAAGTACAGCCAGTATCACAAAGTTATGACTTCTGACTTGTTGGCTTATCTCATGGAATCTCTTCTCCCTTCCTCAGTTTGATCTCAAAACCAGTTACACAATTTTTACCATGGAAAATTCCATCCATCAGCACAAAATTTATCTCCCCACAAAAATGCTGGAGTCCAACAACTCAGCATTTCCTGAGGAAAAACTGCTTTGCTGAGCAATCCTGATAGGTTCAGTCAATTTATGTGGACAAACAGGGATTCCTGGAAGCATGCAGGTGCTTTGTCCTTGAAGCACATCTGAGTGTGAGACACTTCCACGAGCTCCTCTGAGCCCCTGTCAGGTTGAGAGGAAGCAAGGTTGCTCAACATGTCACAAAAATAACCTTCACCTGTAAAGTCACTGTGGGTGCTATGAAGAGCTTTGCATAAAGTCACAGCGGGTAATGTCTGTGGACACCAGAAATGCTGTACGTGATGGAATGCTGTTTATGTATTTTATGGTCATATTCTATAATCATTCTTGCTCGGGCACAAGCTGTGTGGCAAAACGGTTAAGCAAGCTATAAAAAATTGTATCTTTTACACTCAACACATTAACACCCTCTAGATGCCATAAATAATCCCAATATTAAAGCTTATTTCATTGGGAAATTTTCCTAAGATCTCTTTCAATACGCTTTTTAACCTCCACTATCAGCACCTTGAAGATGACAACTGTCTTCACGACAGACTTAAAACTTAGAGTATATTTAGGATGACTGCAGATAACATCTGATATTACCACAACCCTCTTTAGAACTTATACTAAACTTTCAGAAAAAAACCTTGGCAGACTTAGGTCTAAATTAAACGTGAACTTAAGCATATGAGAGCAGCAACTTCCGGGTAGCCCTAATTTCCCCTTTTTTTAAGTCCTCTAATAGGCTGCGAAGGCGAAACGCAGATTTACGATCAGGGGATGTCAGGGAGCTCCTACCGTCATCGGCATCGGTGACGCTGAAGTTGAGGATGGCGGATCCTGGGGGCAGGTTCTCCATCACGGAAGTGCTGTAGGAGGCCATGCCGAAGAGGGGCGGGTTGTCGTTGACGTCCAGGATGTTGAAGTACACCCTGATGGCCGTGGCCTGGCCTCCCCCGTCCTCAGCGCGGACGGTGAGGATGTAATACTGCTGCGCTTCGTAGTCCAGGCCCCGCGTCAGGTTGAAGACCCCGGTGACGGGATTCAGGAAGAAGATTCCCTCCTCATCATCCTCGCTGATGGTGTACGTCACCTCCCCATTGACGCCCGAGTCGTCGTCGGTGGCCAGGATGGCTGCCACCAAGGAACCTGCGTGGCACAACGGCAGGGCACCGTCAGGCACTCGCAACAGGCAGCTGCCCGCAGCCAGCGCAGCAGCAAGCACACCCACAGAGGAGAGATGCCCTCCCCGAGAAACCCAAGTGTAATTTCTCTCTCCTTGCCTCCTCCTCTGTATTCCAGACTCCAACACCCAAGAGCCCCCAGGCTGTCTGAGCAACTACTGCAAAAGGTTTTGTAAAGCATAAAGGGACATCATATTCTTGCTTTTACTCAAACACCGTAAGAAAGGGTCAAGAATGTTTTTTTATCTTCATGCAGATTAGGTATCAGCAGGGGCAAAAACACCTTTTCTCCTGCTAGGTATTGTCTTCCTATGACTCAGACGACCCTCCCTTTGCCGCAGACAATCACAAGTTCTGGATATTTCTTTCCAAATGCAGGAACCGGTATGTGAGTACAAACCGCACAGCCCAGCTCTGCTTTTTGAAGCGGTGCCTTTGCAGGGTAACTGCGGTTAGAAAACTGGAAACCTTATAGGGGTCTGTTCTCCGCCGCTTTCTGAAATTCAACGCCCTGTGAATTTGTGCCAGTGTTTTCATTTCTGCATAGCTGCCCTCGCATGACTGACCTATCTGACTAGAGTTTGGAAATCAAGTGTCACTTTTTAGTATTTTGAACATTAATTATAATTAAGATCAGCTCAATTCCAAGAAAATAAATCATTAAGTTTCCTTTCCCTGGAACCAGATGAACTACGTGCAGCACAGTTGGCTACTTTCAAGCAATGTGATAATGAAAACTGCTTGTATCATCAGAACAAAGAAGAGTGCTGTAACCCCCTTTAATCCAGCTGGATGTGCTGGTATCTTTCACACCCATTTAATGATCTCAAGCTTTAATGTTTCTTTAACTGCAAGGGGAACAGGGATTACTCTCTGGGATAGAAAGTGGAACCTTGAAGGGGAAACCCCACGGTCCTTCCCCTCTGGGTGAGCCTGCCAGCTGCTCCTGCACTGCTGGAGAGCAGAGCAGGAGAAGATGCAGTAATTTAACACAAAATCAGCCAATTTGTTCCTTCAGCATCCATCACTGCTAAGCTGGGTATAAAGCACCAATGTACACCCTATAAATGATTAACGAGAGAAGTCTCATTTTAATGTGGAGGGAATTAGGCTTGCCTTTTTTCCAGGGTTATTCCTGCTGAAACAGACTGAGACTCAAAGCTCTGAGAGAAAAGGGCATGGCTGGGGATCAGCAACCAAAGCACTCTGTGTTATACAGACATCTCAATTACTTCCAGATCAAATTCCTGAGGCACAGCTGATTGCACTGTAATCCTTTAATGCAAAACAACACCAAATTTTGGGACAGGGACTGTGGGGCAGAGTGCAAAAGTTGGAGGCACGGGGGTAACCTTAGTTCTCCCAAACTGAGACTCCTATGCTTATGAAAACCCTAATGAAAGCTTGAAAGCTATCACCTTGTCATTTGCATCTCCTTGGATTATTCATGTTTTGGAATAAGCTTCTAAGATGCTACAGGCAGATACTGCTTTTGTAATAGCAATCTGTATAAAATCTTGGAAGCAATATTCATTTCTTACCTGGAGACACGTAGTAGAGCATGGTATTTGAATACTTTTTTTGATCTAAGTACTTTTTAGTTTACAGCCCCCCTCTGAAGCAACAGAACACTCCTGCATATGAAACCAGCCTTAAACGAAGAAAACAACCACTTGAGAGGCCAGTGGTCGTATTTCCAAGTCCTGTTTACCTGGAGTGGCATCTTCTGGGATGTCAAAGGAGTACACTGGCTTGGAGAACTTGGGGATGTGGTCATTGACGTCGCTGACAGTGATGTTTATTCTCATGTCCGAGGACTGCAGGCCGTCGTCGGCGCGGACCAGCAGGGAGTACTTGGAGCGGCGCTCGCGGTCCAGGCGCTTGGTGGCGATCAGCTCCCCCGACTCGGGGTCGATGTGGAAGCTGTCGTCTGCACCACTGATAATGGTGTATGTCACCAGGGCATTGGCTCCCTAAGTCAAACCAGAAGTGGTCAAATCACGTCATTTGCCAGGAAAACCACATCACAGCTCGCAGTAAGACAAGGATCGTTCCAGTAACTGCGCTTGGAGATTGTCTTTCAGAACAGCTTCCTTTAATAAACAGCTTTCCTGCCCAGTCCCTGCTTCAGTCCCACAGTAAGGACACATACCCACACAGTTTTCATTTATGAGATGTGAAACCATGAGATTACCCAGATGCTTTGTGCTCCACTCCTCATAAAAGGATTTCATCCAATCAATACCAAAAAACTGTTACCTGTTTTTGTTTCAAACCAGCATCACCGAGCAGTGCGACATCTTAATAAAGATCAATGTTTACTCTTGTTTTATCTTTAAAGGTTAAATTGAATCCCTGCCAGTGGGATCAGCTCTGCCTTTCTTGCTCTCTGGAGAGGGGATGGAAGGAGCAGGAGAGGAAGGGAGGGAGGCATGGAAGCAGGGGGGACCTGGGGCAGCTATGTGGCAGTGCTTCCAGCCACCACCCACAGCAAGGGCCTCAGCTCATGGTCAGGAGAAACACATGGAAGCCATGCTTGCAGCAGCCCCTCAAAGGTCAGTTTCTGCATGGAAATATATTTACCCATGTAAATAAAAAACCCCGAAGTGACAAATCACACATCATTAAAATCACAGTTCTGATCTCTTGGGCTGTGCTGCAAGTCAAAAGCATTTGCTTTCGGGTCAAAAAACTTAATTTATTCTTGGGGGGGAAAAAAAAAGCATTCATGTGGACTTTGATCATTTTGGTTGAAAGGAAAATTAAGGAAAAGTAATATTACATAGGAAAATGTCCCATACTTCTTTCTCCAAGACAGGCTTAAGGATGCTGAAGGTTTGGTAGCCTTTAACATCAGACAGAGAACCTAAACCCTGCGTATTGATGGTGCCTGGAAATGCAAGCAGGTATTTACTGTGCCCTCCTCTGGTGCCAGGCCAGAGCTCAGATTTGACAGCTGAAACCTGCAGCTGACATGCCAGTGGCACTTCTGCAATGAACAGAAGATCAAAGAGATGAGGCAGAAAGGAATTCTCTGGCTTTTTCAAATACTCCAGCTTAAAAAAGCAAATTAATAGAGATAAACACCTCCTTGTATTTGTGAGAGGAGAGACAAGCATTCGTTACCTGACCTTACCAGAGTGCCCATGCCAAACTTCCTCTCTGGGGTGTTGCTTCAAAGAGTCAGACTGAGCTGACTGATAAAAGGATATTTGGAAAGAAAACAGGCTTCTGCAGGTGCCCAGCCCTGCAGAGCTGCGTGCGGCGCTTCGTCTGTGTGCTCAGGTGTGCCATGGGCACGTCACACGCTTTCCTACAATTGTCTGGCTTGCCCATCACATCTCATGAGAATTTTCAGAGGTGACCACATTCTTCACCCTGTGTTTGACCAGCCAGAATCCTTCTAACAGAGTGCAGCTAAAACCACAGCCACGTGTGATACTGGTTTATACTGTGTCCTCAGCTGCAAAAGGCAGGGGGGAATAAAGAGTATCTTGACCCTAAGCTGCACATTGCTAGGAAAACTTGCAAAAACTTGGGTTCTTTGTAAAGAGACTGAGTTACAAATGTTCTGGTGGGGAAATTGAAATCATTCCTTTTGATAAAAAGGCTGATTTCTCTCTAAGGTAATAAATCACCTCCCACTGGACGGAATCCTGGCTTTTGCCTGCGTATCAGGCTACTACTGGAAAATAAAGGGAAACCAAAATATTTACAGTCACATTTGCACCATTCCCGGGGGTGTTCCCGTGGTTCCCTCTGTAGTGGCGAGATTAAGTACACCAGTGAACAATCACAGGAAGACTAACCAAGCTAACACAAAAAAGGCCAGGAATAAAATTCTCTTGAGGAGCTTGAACTGCCCCATTATTTGAAAGCAAGAACTGCTTATTACTGTCAAGTCTGCTGTCTGCACTTTAATGACAACACAAACTTTTTGTGTTAATCTGTTGACTTTTTAGTCATTTTCTTCATGGAAAGAAGCAGTTCAAGTAAGCAAAAATAACATGATTAACATTTTTATAACTTAAGTTTCTGAAACAAATGAATGCATCAATAGCATGGTAGTTTCTTCACAGCACCTTAGTTGCAGCATTCTCATCGTAATGAATCTAAGAGGGCAAAATTATTTTGCAAATAGATTAATGCAGAGTACACGTTTCATCATTATTTCTTTTCCCCTCTTTTTGGTAAAATAAAACCTTCTTTTGGAAGGGTTAATATTGATCTTTGTTAGGTCTAGTCAAAGTGAAAACAGGCATTATCAGAATTTTTCTTGTTCTCCAAGGTTTGTCTCAAATTAATTTTATTGCACACCTCGGAACTGGGCTCAGCTACAAGACCTTGGTTTCAAAGTTAGTTTAGACCTCCACAATACTGGACAGAACTTTGTGAATGACTGCCATGATTCCTAAGGCCAAGCTCACACAAAGGGATGAAGAAAACAGGAAAAAAAACCATGTCCAGAATGGCACTTCTGCTACCAACATTCAAAACTGAAATTATGCTCCTACCTCATCAGCATCCATGGCTGTCAGCTGCAGTATTTTAGATCCATCTCCTATGTTCTCCTCTACAGTCAGATCGAGCATGTCCGTGGGGAAGACTGGCGGGTTGTCATTTATATCTTGAAGTGTTATTTCTACCTGTAAAAAGGAGGAATAGGAAAAAAATTGAGTGAGCACCTGGACACTGATTGGACCTGAATGTTACTAATAACATAATTCTGAAAGAAATCAGGTAAATTGCTCTTAATCACACGAATTAGCACATTCCCAAATCACACCAGCATTAGGAAAAGCCCGTCCGGATATTAAAATTCCACGTTGTTATAAAATAATCCTAGGAAAACCTCTAACACAAATAAAGTTAATTTGACTTGTTGATAGCGACTGATTTTAAATGGTCTTAGTCTGGTTTATATTGGAAAAGATCCACTGATAGACTGTCATTGTAATCCTCAAAGTCAGCCCCTGGAGAGTAACTGCCAAGTGCTGGGGCAGGAGATCGTTCAACCATTAAATGCTGCCTGACATAAAGATGAGGTGGTGTAAAATTCTCTCTGAAATGTTTATATATTGGCAACTCTCCGTTCCGAGAGGGGGAAAAAAACACCCTTGCACTTAATATATTTTATATCAAATAATCTGCTTTTCTCTCTCCCTCAAAACTCTCCTCTAAGTGCAAGCACAAACGTTACTTTAGGAGCACCCACCAGCATCTACTCTCCCTGCCTATCCGAAACTCAACAAATGCTCTTTTCACATGCCATATTTGTATGCCTTTCCAAGAATGATAGCTCCTGAAAGGTTTGTTTTGTGATCTTTATCTCTAGTTTTTCATAGGCAAGACTGCTGCCCTGCTGATGCTAATTCAAGAAGATGCAGAGCTACGCTTTCCCTTGTTGCTGGGTCTGGAATGTAATATTCCAAAATAGAAAAAGAAGACACAGCTGTTTTATTTTTATCATGGAAAAAAAATGTATGGTGTTGGACCCAAAATACTGAACAGTCACCAAACTTTGAAGACCCACTAAAGAGAAAAGGAGTAGCTGAAAGAGCCAAGGAACAGAGAAAGGTAAAAGGCAAAGGTATGGATGACTTAAAGAAGGTGCCTGGATTGACAGACAAAGTATCATTTACACTACAGCATCTGCTATGCCCGTACCCACAAGGACTGTCCATGCACTCAGCTGAAAATATATGGATTGGGCTGCTCTGGATATAACCAACACAGACATTTCTGGTGATCCAAAGTCTACAATTCCCACTGTTTCTAGTCCCCTGTCGTAACACGTTCTTCTCTGTTCTGTTTTCATAGGGACCTCCAACTGCCAAGTTCTGTCTTGATCACCACGATTATCCCAAACACAGAGGAAATATATTCATATTAGTGTAATATTAATGTAATAGCTATGTGTGCTGGAAGCGGAGGCAAAACCAGGGGTCTTTTATAGCGGGCCACTATTTATTTATCTATCCCCTATTTCATCCCTTTGGTCATTCAGAAATGGTACACAAAACAATTCACAGCCTGAGACAGATCAGCCCAGAAGGTTTTATTGTTAAATTTATATCCCTGGCAGCAGAAGCACGAGGAGTGCTGAGCAGAGCACCACGAGCAGTGACTGACAACCACCTGACCAGACACAAACTTTGGGAGAATAACCCATCCTAGGCTGGTTTGCAAGGAGACTGGGTGACGATTAATCACAGAAACAGGAGGGACGCGGTAGAAATGACAGATAAAGGACTTTGCCAGCCCTCCTTGCCTGTGAACTGGCACAGCACACTCTTCCTGCTTTCCTCCCCGAAGGGCAGCACTTCCCCAGCCAGGGTTTCAAGGTAAAGCAGCTGCACAGCTCTGCAGTTCATTTTTCCCTAGCATACGTGTCATTCACAGCTAATGTTTCAGCTGCGGCTGACGCCTCACCACCAGAACCCATTTTCATGATGAGAGATTACCCTTTGTACAAATCCTATGAAAAATACCTGACAGCTTCTGGGGGGTTTGGGATAGGAGCTGTGCCTCGCCTACAGCTTGAATAATGTGAAATAGTGAGGATACCCATGAATACTCATGGCTAAGGATCGGGGGACAAATGAGTCAATTACAAAGTCAGATTCCGGAGAAGTGAAAAAAGGAAGAATGAAAGAGGTGATTTTATTCTGAAAAATCTGTTCAAATGTAAACAAAGGAACTGTATTTTATACATGCTTTAGATGGTGGAAAAATAAGAAATCCTCAAATAAGGATAAGAATTTTTTAGAAAAGAACACAACATCTTTAAAGAGCGTTTACACCATGATGTATTACTCACCCACAGGGCTTAGATAATGTGTATTGCTTCTTAATTCACCATTGGCTAAGTCTAATTAACATCTGTGTCTAAAGCTATCTTTTTACTTCTGCTAGAATTTACTACTTCAGCTTACAAACAGAACTGGGAGTAAGATCTTTAGATGCACTCTTTTGCAGAAATTTCACTGCAAGAATCATAGAATCACAGAATGGTGTGGGCTGGAAGGGACCTAAAAGATGATGTAGAACCACCCACCCTACCAGGGACAGGGATGCCACTCACTACACCAGGTTGCTCAGGGCCCATCCAGCCTGGTCTAAGACATCTGTGAGAAAGATTTGAGAAAGAACATCACATTTTTCCCAAACAAGAGTCTGCTACATTTCATTTAAGAGAGGATGTCATACATCCTCTGAATGAGATCGGATGTAAATTGAATGTCCAGGAGCTCACAAATTAATTTCACTTTGAAATTATCCCATAAATTTTGACATGAAGCAGAAGCCCACAGGAGAACCACAACCACAAAGTCTTCCATTACCACAGGGCGCTGGAAGATTGCATCTTATCACACAAAAGAAAAAAAAAATCCACAAAGCTTTAATCAAAGATCTAAACGAAACCTTTTCCCAACCCACTGCTTCTATCTTTCTAATCCCACTTCACATTTGCATAAAGAAATCAATGTGTGCCACTTTAGGAAATACATGGTTTGATTACTATCATATGCTACCAGTTAAAAATTAAGTGTAATTCTGCCCTGGACTTAAGGAAGGCAAGACAAGGTGGTCATGGTGGTGTCACCAGCTGTTGGCACCACAGGACTCACATTCAAAAGGGTCTAGAGATCATCTGCTGTTCTCCCAGCTCACACTGGTGGCAAGCCACCCACCAGCAACAGCAACACGTACAAGAATAAATATCTAGGAAACCAAAGGCCTGGAAATCTCAAATACACCACAGGGAGCTGAAGGGATTTATCCAAACCTTGGAAGCAAGGAACAATTACACGCCAATGCCCGTAGAGCTGTAGGAAGCAACACGCCCAGGCTACATGGAAAGTGATAAATGCCACCAAAATCTGGCCAGTTTTGTCTCCAAATCTATCCAAAATGAGGAATATTCTTCCCTGACCTCAAACTCGTCATTCATTGCAAATCTAGGATGCAGAGGCAACACAAACCAAGCACCTCACAGCACTCACAGTACTGCACTTTGCAACAAAAGGTTCTGCAACTTTCCATCTGACAAAGCCTCAATTCCTATTTGTATCAAAAGCAACTTTAATACAGGTCCCAAAAGTTGTTGCTGCCACTCAGAGGACTCAAATATAATAAAACACAGAAACAGCAAAGATAGTTAAGCATCTTTCCACCTTTTTTATTCTCCAACTTGCCCTCTCCAGTGGTCCAGGCACTGATGGGGGCTTTGCTCCTCTGAACAGCCTTGAATTTCTGCAGAAGCCATGAGAACACAAATAGTTACAGACTCTCCTAAATCTGTTAAAACTGTGATGGAAAAGTGATTAATAGATTCATAATATTGTCTTGCTTTTGTTTTGTTGTTCAAGGGAAAATGAAAGAAAAAAAATCAGAAAGCTTTGGTTAATCCACACGCACGTAAATCTCCACAAAATCACTCTACTTTTGTACCAAGTCTAGTACAGGGCTTTTCCTTCACACATTTAATACATCTAGAAAAAAAGAAAAAAGCTTTCCCTCAGAGCTTATTCTTCAGACAAATAAACATTGTTTATTTACCAACCCTCGTAAAATAAACACAGTAATTTCACATATCAGTTTCAATACAAACCATCTTTGCCTGGGTTGGGTTTTTTTATTAGTTTTGTTTGTGTGCTTGTTTTATGTTTGACTCAAGCTAAGATGCAAAAACAGAGGCATACAACAAACCACAGAGCCCAGCAATATAGAAAGCCAAACAATACCACAAATTTCCCTGTGCATGAATCAAATTTCTCCTTCACAGGCTTAATAACATTCTCACAATAATGCCCTGCCCCTGCCACAGTTACAGATGGCCAGCCCATCCTCATCTGTGACAATCTGATTGCTGCAGCCTGTTGTCACAAACATTTTCAAAGCAGGGGAAGTATTAATTGCCTTGATCTTGTTAGGATTCCTATTTGCTGCTCAAATTAGCCTCTTGTGGTTTTTTGTTGGTTTGTTGTTTTGTTTTTTTCTCCCTCAACAAATTCATAACAGATTGAGGCAGGGCAGAACTCACCTCAAACAGTCCTGCTTCAATTTACTCTGAATGTAGATGTTAGAAAAATAGTTCTTTCCCATTCAGATAAACTTCAGCTGTTAACAGATAACAGGAATCATATCAAGACCTCAAGTTTTAAAGCACACAGCTCTATTAAAGCGTCTAGGACATGAACTATTCCTAAGCTTATTCAAACTCATTTGTTGAATTAAGAAACAGCTGCTAAAAGACGAAGTTTCACTTCTTAGAGCAAAAACACCAATTCCACTTCAAAAATACTGGTACCCCAGGTAACTATTACTGAACAGGCTAGACAAGTTCCATGCTCAACATAAAAAGCTTAAAATGAGAGTTTTATTCTGGAAAAAGGAATTATTTTAGTGACTGGGTTTATGAGCTACAAAGGTACGTAAAATAAAACATCACCCTGCAAGGCAATGTGCCAAATTCTAACCAATCATAACACCTTCCATAAACCAATGGGCTCACTTGGCCAGACCCTATCCTTCTGTTTTACTACGGTTATTAACATTTAGTTTTTCTTTTAGTCCAAAGTCAGGAGGGTTTACAGACAGAACAGTTTTCTGAAGTTCTTCCACCTATCAAATGGCAACGAGA